TAACGGGGCAAATATGGGACACCATAAACAAAGCAGATATTGATGGGACAGTTGGCAGAGCGGCGGCGATGGCGATGGACAGACAGTCACATACAATGGCCTTTCAAACTCACCGACAGGTGCGGCGGCCGAACCGTTCATCGCCTGATGGGGCGAGAAGTCACGGCCCGACGAGTGGTCAAACATTGTGAGACAGGCGCGGGCCTGATCTGAATACAGGGCACCCGTCCGGTACTTATAGTTATCGGTAGTGATTAACGGGAAAGTAGTCTCAGTTGTATTTGAAACTATCATTTCAATTGGTTTGGATTTTTTTGGTATTGTTTTCATTACGAGAAGAGTTTTTTGTTTCGTATTCAACAGCAAAAGAAATTATAGAAAATAAAAATAAATCATAAATAAATGTAACAAATTATTAAATTAAAAACATCGAGAAAATTGTGGTAATAATGAGAGTGTCCTTCAGGTGCTCTTCAGACACACTTCGGACGGAAAGGTGAGGGGACAGGGAGTGAGAAACTCACTGTGAAAGTCGTCGGAATAGTAGGCAGATATTGGTCTCCGTCTGGAATTGTGTTGATTCTCATCTGCGGGTCGATTAGGAGTGGCGAACAGTAGTGTCTGTCGACTGCCGCCCAGCGATGGTAGGTCCAGGTCTAGGGTACGGGGCGTTGAGCTGCCGAACACGAAACTAGTGTTGTTTCGTTGGGCCAGTCGTTTGGCCTCCAGTTTGTTATCCCTATCCATACTTCGCCGAACCATCGCTTCCTTACGCTCCTAAAGGGTTGACAAATAAAACAATATTTTAATTATTTATTCATAAAAAGGTTAAAATATCAGAAAACCAATTAACAGATCAATTGATGGCATGAATGGATTTAAAGCATCAATTGATTGAAATAAATAAACAAAATACAAAATAAAACATAAAAACTCAATTAAAACAATCATTAGGAGAGAGAGAGAGAGAGAGAGAGAGAGAGAGAGAGAGAGATGCTAATGGTGTGAACGGATCAGTTGGTGGCCGACCAGTACCTGTTCCGCCTCCCAAATCAGTTTCTTGCGCTCCTCGACGGCCGACCTCTTCTCCAAGTCCTTGACCTTTAACTCGTCGATCTTCCGGCGCCTCTCGTCCTCCACTTGCGTCCGATATCTCCCCTTCTGATCAGTGATCACACAAATGGCCACAAAAAACGGATGCAATTAAGTGCAAGTCATAAACAAAATAAACAACAAAATACTTAATTAACAAACAAATTCAAGACAAACAACAAACAAAAAGTCATCTGAAGAAGAAGTGGTGGACAAACCTGTTGTATAGATATCTCTATGTCCTGTAACCGTCTCTGTCTCTCATCCTCTTGTCGTTCGCGACATAAACGCAACTTTTCCTCAAATTTCAAGCCATCCCTTCCGTCTTAAAGAGGCATTCAATGGTAAAACAAATAAACA